CTAAATTAACATCTGAAGTATAATTTTTTATTGTTTTTATATTTTTCAATATATTTATTTTGTTTGTACAAAATAAAAAAATAATTTTTAATGATACAATAGTCTTTGTTAGACTTATAATCGACGAAAATTCAACGCAAAGCGACACGCAACGGAGAAAAATTTCAACATCAGATCCGTTAAGCTATTTTTTCGTATATAAATCGGTTATCTGAAATATCAGTTATACGAACAACCCCAGTCCCCAATTGATTTGGAAAATCGATGCTCTACTGTATTTTGATCAGTTAATATACAGTAGAGTGTCTATTATCCGAAACGTCAATTATCCGAAAGAATTCCAGTCGGCAAATTTAAATTTTCGCCAGTGCTGTGGCGCTGCAATCTTTGGCTACGTCTTGGNAAGATTTTTTATTTAAAAAAATTTCTTTAATAAAATCTCATAATAGATGGCACCACATCAATTGTAATGTTTGGTGCCAAAAAAAATTACTTCTTTTAAGCTTTTATTAATATTTAAATTTATATCATAATATAATTGAAAATTATTGGCCTTTTTGGTCCACATAATCTCCTATTCAAATGTTGGAAAAGCTGTGCATGAGCCCTTGTTGTCTGTTTTTACTTATTTATTTATTTAGCATTTTAGATATAGAAAACTTTGAAGCAAGGAAAGTTATCAAACAGTTACAATAACATTAACAATTAATTACAAAACCATAACAGTAGTAATAAGTAATATAAACACAAAAATATAATTTTTATATATTTGTATTTAAAAATATATTTTCATATATAATTTTTAAATATAATATATAATTAAATGTAATCAAAATATAGTTAAATGTAAATTACTGAACCTTAACTTGTAGTAAACTGTCCAAAATATTTAAATATTAACTAATTTCAAATTTACCTATAAACAGAATAAGAAAACCAATGTTAATAAAATTTTCCCAGATTGCCAAATTGTCTTCCAAACTGCAGAAATTGATTTCACAAATTTATAGCAAAGAAAACAGAACCACCAATAATTTTCAAAATGAATGTAATGCAAACAACAAAACCTCTCAAACTACAAGAGTTTACCTGTTGGAAGTTAAAACAAACATGCAATGTCAATTATACATCAATATCTTTATTTTACAATTATATTTTAAACATTTATAAATTAAGAATATAATGCTGAATATTTTTTATATAACAAAAAAACTTTAAAGAAACAAAAAAATTACCCATTAATTGCAAGTAATAATGAAAATAATATCAATTCCAAAAATTTCTTTAATAAAATCTCATAATAGATGGCACCACATCAATTGTAATGTTTGGTGCCAAAAAAAATTACTTCTTTTAAGCTTTTATTAATATTTAAATTTATATCATAATATAATTGAAAATTATTGGCCTTTTTGGTCCACATAATCTCCTATTCAAATGTTGGAAAAGCTGTGCATGAGCCCTTGTTGTCTGTTTTTACTTATTTATTTATTTAGCATTTTAGATATAGAAAACTTTGAAGCAAGGAAAGTTATCAAACAGTTACAATAACATTAACAATTAATTACAAAACCATAACAGTAGTAATAAGTAATATAAACACAAAAATATAATTTTTATATATTTGTATTTAAAAATATATTTTCATATATAATTTTTAAATATAATATATAATTAAATGTAATCAAAATATAGTTAAATGTAAATTACTGAACCTTAACTTGTAGTAAACTGTCCAAAATATTTAAATATTAACTAATTTCAAATTTACCTATAAACAGAATAAGAAAACCAATGTTAATAAAATTTTCCCAGATTGCCAAATTGTCTTCCAAACTGCAGAAATTGATTTCACAAATTTATAGCAAAGAAAACAGAACCACCAATAATTTTCAAAATGAATGTAATGCAAACAACAAAACCTCTCAAACTACAAGAGTTTACCTGTTGGAAGTTAAAACAAACATGCAATGTCAATTATACATCAATATCTTTATTTTACAATTATATTTTAAACATTTATAAATTAAGAATATAATGCTGAATATTTTTTATATAACAAAAAAACTTTAAAGAAACAAAAAAATTACCCATTAATTGCAAGTAATAATGAAAATAATATCAATTCCAAAAATTTCTTTAATCAAATTAAAAAGGGACAAGAGTCACAATATGAAAAGCATCCAATAACTGATCTTTTCTACACAATTGACAAATCTTTCTTATATGATTATTCAGAATTTTCAGAGAATTGCATCTCACCTATAAATAGAATAAAAGAACTAATGTTAATAAACTTTTCTTGGATAGTCAGTGTGTTTCTCCCATTAAATTCTATATATTCTTATTTAATGAAAAGAAATAAAAATAAGTCAACATTATTATTTCTATTATTATTTTATCCATGAAATAATTTATCAATTAGTCCTTTGAATTAAATTATATAATAACACCTTAGTTTAAGGCATGTGTTCTGTGTGTTAATGTGAAACTATATCAAAGCAAGCATTATTTTAAGATGTTTGTTTTAATTAATGAATTGGGTGATCAAACAAAAAGTAGAACCTGTGAGATATTCAATAAACCTACAATATCTTTCACCTCTATAGGTGAAAGTATTTATTGAATATATATGGGTAAGAACTGGGGAAAGTGACAATACAGAAATTAATAATTTTTTATTGTTATTAATTTTCAGTTGTTGAATTGTGAGTTTGAATAAAATGAAGGATTTAAAATGTTATTTATTAGATTAAAAGTTTTGAAGTAGATTACAATAAGACAAAATTTGAGATTTATAAAATGTTTAATTGTTTGAACAGTTGATAAATTTGAAAGCTATATAAAATGCCATGAATTAAAAAATAAGCAAAAAATTATTATGTTAACATTTACGCTTAGTAAAGATAGACATTTGTTATTAAAAGGAATTTAGTTTTTACTTAATAAATTCAGATTTCATTGTCATTCGGTCAAATTAGAAACAGTAAATTGAATAGTCAATAAAATGTAAGTGAAAACAATATTACTGGAACAAAATGATTGGCGATAAAAGGAGTGCTGCTGCATTTATAAGAAATTTAAAATTAGTTACACAAAAAAATTAATTAGTTACATAAAAAAATCATTATTTCAGTTAGTGTCACTGTATGACTTTTTTTTAATTTAATGTATCTATCAATATTGTTTAGGAAGAGAGACCCTTTCACATATACAAATAAAAGTTTGATATGAAACTTGCTATAATTTCTCAATTATTAACAATATATCTTTAATTATGATATCAATTGGGTATTCAATGTCAAACTTTAAGATATTAAGTTGTTGTATAGTATAAAATATGTAATTTTACTGCATTAAGTATATTTAATTATTAAAATATTATAATAAAATTTTATGTTTTATACATAACCAACAAGATTCATATGCAATTGATTGTTTACATTAGTTCTACAAAAATTTACATGTGGGCTGCTAAAGGCATACAAATGTATACAAAATATTAGTCAATGCTACATTGTAATTACAATGATGAGGGCATTCTAATTATATTGGAACCAAAAGCCCAGTCTTATCTATTATCCAACTTTCATATTATTTCTTTGTTTTATTGCTCTGATGATAATTTCAGTTGAACAGGAAATCCTGCTCTTAGGGGAAGTTCTGGACAGGAAATCAGTTCTAATTAACATAATTTGATCTTTGTTCCTATAAGTTCCATTTTCACCGATTGACTGATAACTACACTTACGTACAGATAATTATATTATCTTTATTTATGCTTCACAATATCAGTAATTTCAGCTTGTATAACATTCTACATTCTGTAACAGGATATTCTAAAGTAAGTAGTATAACATTACAATCTCTTAATGTTTAAATTAGTTTTTGATTAAAATATTGAAATGATTAGTTATTCTTTTGTCAAGAAAATTTTCAAATCTAATTCAGCATTAGCTATGCTCAAATAGAATAGTTTTAATATCTTAATTTGGTAGGTAGTTAATGAAATGAAAACCAATTACTTCTATATCTTAGTGTGTTTTATTTCTTATTTACATTTTTATAGTGTCAATCATTACATTCTTTTTAAGTTGAAAATGTTACTCAGTTAAAGTATTTATATTACATACCTATCTACATAGTATTGAGAACCAGCATCCTTTATGATTGAGTTTGTTTTAATTCTAAGATTTTAAACTTTGACTGTTGAGTTCTGACTGCCAAACCAGCACTTGTTTTTGTAATACAAGAGACGATATCTGGAGAAGGGAGTTGCTCAATGTAATGTTAGGTCTAACTGTTGCTGCTATTTGCCACATATTTTTAATCTGATGTTAGTAGTTGTCTTAGCAAGATGTAGTTTTATAATCTTTCTCTGTATTCTTTTTATTAAACTTTTTTATGTTTAAAACAACCATGGAATCTTTTACATACATACAATATATTTTATGTTGTTACCATTTAAGTGGTTTCTAAGAAACTTGATTAAGGTGATTAAGGAATTTAAAAAACTGTGGACAGTGTTCTGATTTCTTTTTGGTTAAATGTAAAAAAAATTGAGATTTAATTGCAGAAAATATTGTTTGAACTATATATTTATATCATCACATTGAAATGACCAACAAAAAAATTGTGACAATTCATAAATTTTAAAGCAATGCCTATTATACAGTATATATATAAATCATATCCTGAAGAGAATTTTTATTGGACCATCTTAAACTTTAATATAAATCTTATTTTTGAATTTTACTGTTGTATTAACCAGTTGTATTGAGTTCATAAAGCAAATAATAATCAATAAATAAAAAAATCCATCCTGATTAAAAATGACATACTTTTCCCATAATTGTACATAAAAATAATTTACATATTCTTATAATTTCATAATGAAAGTTTATTTAAAATGAAACAAAGATGATAAAAGTTTTAGAAAATAAATCTGAAATAAATTCTGTATTATTTAAAAATCTTATACTGTTGATAAAGTAGAAATATCAGCATTATGATTTAGTTGTAATTTAATAATTTTATATAATGATTAAGCAATGACTGGTACTGAAATTGTTAGCTTGTATGAAATTAATCATATTTATACATTAACTACTTTCATCTTTTTTATTTAGAGAGGAAGCCATAAGACAATCCGGCAATCCGACAACTAAAAGTGTCGTCGAAATGGAAAACCATGTTTTTGCTAAAGCCAGAACTAAGGTATTTACAAGTTTATTTTTATAGAATTATTTTAAAATTTTTCAACATATGTATTGATTATTTATACTAACCATCTTAGTATGAACAATTAATGTACTGAATATGTTGGGAAACTATAATTCCAATAAACATAAATAAAATGTTTATTGGAATTATAGTTTTTATTAATGAAAACAAGTTGACAATAGGTGTTAAAAAATTGAATCTGATAAAAATGATAGAGTTTCTTATATTCACATTTTATTACTTTACTAGCTGTTATAGCATTGATGCTCTGGTTTCACTAAGAAAACATCAAATGGATTTGTGTTTGAAAACTACAAGCATTTTCTTTACTTCATGACAATGTACAGTACAATGAACACTTTCTTTCATTGCTAAGTCAATGAATTTTACTATTTTTTTTTTAATCATCTCATGTAAATAAAACATAGTTTATTTTATTATCTTTGCATTGATTTGTTCTGTTGTGTTTTACAGAATCACTGTATTCATAAGGTTAAAAATTTTTTTTTAAATGATAAACTAATTCTTAATAGAGCAGTCTGTAACAATTTAAAGTTAAAAATATATATATATATATATATCATTTAATTATAGGATCTTATAAAGTTTGTAAAAAAAACTAAATAGGGTAATAGGTTTAAAACAAAATATATTTAGGTAGATATTTTATAAAATAATAATTTAAGTTGAAGAAGAAATCAGATCTTAAGTGGCAAAGAAATGTCAGTTTTACACATTCTCAGGAAAATGAATAATAATCATTCTTCTTCAAATGACACAGAACTTGCATTTCTGTTCTGTTCAGAGGGCTGCTTTAGTTTGACTTGCAGCATAACTGAAATCTATATGTATTTCAGCTGAAACTTTAGGTCAATTTGAAACATTTTTGCCAAGAATGCAGATTGTGTTTGTTGGGAAGAGTGGCGGAATTTTGTTTTTACAAAGTGTTACACAATACATCCTATTATAAACAAAAAGAAAATTTTGTTTGTGGCATAGTTGTCTGTGAGAAGTTTTTGTAGACGTGTTTGGATTTGTGGTGTCTTTTTTGTAGATTTGTGGATTCATCAAATTTTGTTCTCTTTTTTCCTCAATTTTTTTCAGGAAATCTAGATTTATTTTCATTTATATACCTTTCTATGAACATTTCTATGATATTTTATAGGAAATTTAAATTTAAATTTATATTTTATAGAAAATTCATGAAAGTTACTACTTTCTTCAAATGATCATAATTTATTTTAGCAAACAAATCTGTTATATCACTGCTTACAGATTAATCCTCCACCAAAACACCATAACACATTTGTGTTCAGTTACTTCCATTTTGGAAATAGTAAATCAATTTAATTATTATTATTATTATTTTTTTTTATCGAGTTTAATTTCATTCCATTATTGGGAATTACTTCCCTATTACAAGGGGTTGTAGAAACATGTATCCATATTTATCTATACTAATATTATAAAGAGGTAATGTTTGTATGTATGTTAGTTTGTATGCAGCAGGTAATCTCCGAAACTACTCATCCGATTTCAAAAATTCTTTCACCAATATTTAGAATGGAACTTCAGGGTGGACATAGGCTGTATATTATTCCGTTAAACATGGGGATAAATTAAA